AAATACAATCGCCCTTCTGTTTGTTTCTGCCAAATTTCCCACTTAAAGTCAGACTGGACTCCACAAACTAGGAAATGGATTTGTTTGATGAATAAACTCAGTTAATAACAGACCTTGGCCCACGGAGCTGTAATTATGTCACAGTGGGGCAAATCTATGCCTTCCTTTATTAGAGCCACGCTGAGTGTTCAACATTTAAACACTGGCCGATTTATGTGTCAAATCTGAGTTCAGACTACTAAAACATGCAATAAAGGCATCAGATATGAGTCTTCTGTCCTGCAGGCCTTTCCTGAGCCTGACAGGGGGATCCAGTCCCTCCTGAGCCTGGTTCCTGAGGCTGCTGGTAAATCTACAGCCCTTCCTCCATCTGGACCCCATCAGCTGTGCAGGGGCTGCAGCAGCAGGACCGCCAAACGCAACCAAACTAAAGTTGCCTTGAACTTTGCGCGTCCTCGGCTGTTTTGCAGCAGATCGATAAGGGATCGATGGCTCTCATTGGCTCTCCGGGGGGGATCTGCGCCACGCTTCCTCTGCAGGCATCTGGCAATCCGCCTGCCGTCTTCGGGAGCCATTTTTTCACTGGCCACAGTGGCCACCCGACGCGAAACCCACCTCGTTCGGAGACGCGTCGGGGCCCCGGAGCGTGTCCCCCCGGGGGGCCGGCCCCGCGGGTCCCTCCTCCGGCCGGACGCGGAGCGCCTTCCCCCGGCCAGCGGCGTCCCGGCGGCCCGCCGATGCAAAGTTCAGCCCAGATTTTTGTGTGCACCGACTCACTCGCCTCCCCGAGCTGTGACCACCATTTTTTTTTTTTTTTTTTTTTATCACAGGAAATGACATGGAAAAACGGAAGAAAGCCACTGCGCAGAAATTAAAGTTAACCGATTGAATTTGAGGCAGAGAATCCGGTCAGGAGGCGGCCGGAGGCGGCGAGGGCTCCGGCCGCCTCCCGTCGGACCTCCGGCCGGCTCAGAGCGGCCGTGAGGAGGGGGTCCAGCCGGCCCCAGCACGGGGAACACAGAATAACCACAAGAATAAGCCATGGAAGCAGGAAAAGGGCAAAATCTGCAGGTTTATAGCTGAAACTATAAAGCAAAAGGGGCTTAATGCGCCTCCGAACGGGTTTAAAACAGGATGAGCCCACAGGTTGAAACGGGTCGCTGTTCCCTCATTGTTCAAACTAATAGAAATACTCGAAGTTCACTAATTATATGCGCAAACAGAAGCTCCAAAATATGTTGTTTTACACAAAAAACTGCACTTTATTGCACTTTATTTCAGATTTGTTCACATTTTCCATTGCAGGATGCACAAAAAAGGGTTCCAGGAATATCAGAAGTGAGCTCATGTCAAAGTTTTCAAACACTTTTATCTTAAGATGTAAAAAAAGGTACTTTAGATTAATGATCGTCTGTAAATTGGGTATATAGATAGAAAAATGTGTGTGAATAATATCTTTCTATAGTTTAACATTGTTTTCTCAGAATAATTACCATAAAAGTGAACTTCTGTTTTGAATTTAAACATGAATCCATGTCCATGTTTAAAAGGAAAAAGCATGTTGGGAAGATCCTTTTAATAATTTTAATTAGTAAACATGCACACAAAGTGCAATTGGACGTATTTGACTAAACAAGAACATATTTATTATACATTTCCTTCATCTTCTAAATCATGGTTGCAATAGTTTTTATATTACCATCAAAATAAAGAGGTTAACAGCCAAAACAGCTGGAAATGGAGCCCAGTGTCTATTTGATCAGCTTCAGGGAAAGTTTCAGAATCAGCCCTCACCGTCCTGCAGCCACATGGTGGCTCCAGCTCACAGCAGCCTCTGATTCAGTCCCATTTACACTAGAGGCTCACGTTAAATACAACAGAGTGATTTAAAACATCTATAAACTGTTTCCCAAAGTGGGTTCTTTGAGGGGATTTGAAAGAGTTTGAAAACTTTTGTATTCTGCTGTTTCTGACGGGGAACATGAACCGAGTCCACTTCTGGTTCCTCTGGCAGAGCCATGCCTTTCCTCCCTGTTTCCTCCTTCAGAGGGGCTTCTTGACAGCCCCCCTTCATGGAGAGCATTTCTGATGAGGCCACCAGGAGATGGTCAGCTGGAGGTCCAGATGCAGCTCTCAGCTCCTGTTCAGCTCTCTGCTGGATCTGCTCCTCTTTCTGAAGGACCTCACTTTCAGATCCTCTTCATCTGCTGGATTAGAGAGTTTTTCAGGCCCAGCTCTTCTTCTTCTGTCCTCCACTGGTCCAGTTTCCTCAGATGTTTTAAGGCCTCACTGCTCACCAGGCTGAGATGTGCCCAGTTTTCAGCCAGCAGCTCTTTGGGAATCCTCAGAAATCCTGTTTCCTGTCTGTCAGACTGGGTTTTCTTTGGCCTTTTTCCCATCAGCTACAGAAATGGAACAAATGATGTGTCTCTGTGACAGGCTGCTGCTGACAATGAGCCTAAAGCTCCAACTGCTGCTGAGTGGTCTAATTTAGCTCAAGAATTAAATAAACAGTCCCTGAAAATAGGTTGAAATTAATCTAAAAAAAAGAGGTTCAAAAGGACACTATGTTAGAGAAAAGCCTGAGGAGCTATTGTTCAAAACCACCACAAAATATTATAAAATGTCTTCCTGCTTTATTTAGCTCCAAAACACAGAATTGTGTGTATTAAATTATCTAAAAAAATCTATTAAAATGAACTGAAAAAGGGGTTGATCTGTGAAAATGTAATTATTCTGTGGAGGAATGTGCTTACTTTCCAAGAACTTCTGAGGAATGATCAACACTTCAGGAACATACTGAACATACTGAACATAGTTTACTGTTTATTCACAATCCTGCTGTCATGTGACTGTGCTGTTAATCTGGAGGATAAAAGCACAGAGAGGAGAACGTCCTCATGTCATCTGTCCGTGCATCTTTAAAATGCTTTGGTGTTTTTTTTTTCCCATCTCTGCATTGTTCTGGACGGCTGTTCTGCAGAGCTTCTTCTTCTGGTGTCTGACGTGTTCACTCAGCCCTCACAAACCTTCAGAGTCTGCGATGCGTGCCCGGATCCGATCTGGTTCAGAGCAAAGTCCCCCTGGTTGGACTCCGCTATATAAAGCTGTGAGCCCAGCAGCAGCAGCCTGGTCTCAGCCCACACAGAGATGCTGAACCTCAGCTCCCTGCCTCTGCTGCCCCCCCGTGGGCCCCCCGCCGGGCCCCCCGGTGGCCCCCCCGGCCTGCTGCAGCCCCTCTGGGACTACCTGCTCTCTCACCACCTGCCTCTGGTCTC